CTTTCTCAATGTTACATTTAAACTCACCTAGGGTCAGTGGCGAACTGGGAGTGGCACTGGGCACTGGCAAGCAGACGATAGAGCTCCTCCAGACCTTGAAGAGTTTGATGCGGTCAAAAGTAAGGAAGGCTGGCAAGAAGACAATGGAACACATAGAGGTGTATCCATGTGAGCCTTCTGCATCATTGAGGCAGGTGGCCTACGATGAGGACGACCCACCGTGTACGCTCACTGCGCCCGTGGTGGGCAAGCTGCAGTGTTTGAGGAAGACCTCAAAGGCTGCGAAGGATGACTCACCTCCTGGAACAGAGTTGGTTCCAGCTCGGCCAGCCCAGAAAGTAGTGGAGCCGAGCGCAATGGGGTTCAGCTGCGATGCCATGCAGATGTTCCAGCTCTTTCAGATGTTTAACTCAATGCAAGGTGGTGGGTCGAGCACTGCTTCGTCAAGCTCAACCTCTCCAAACCTACTGCAGAACTTGCAGGTCTTCAGCAACAAACCAGGCACTGCGGTGACACCGCCACCGCAGAACAGAGTGTCCACAGAGCCGCCCACTAGTGCCACCAAAGCAGCAGACGCCCTCTTCGATTCACCACCGGACGAAGGCAAGGCTCAGGAGCTGCAATTGGTCCTTCCAGAGGCGAAGGTGGCTTCGCCAGAAGAGCAAAGTGCTTTGGTAAAGGCAGCTCTTGCACGTAGGCAGTCTGCAAAGGCAGAGGTCAAAGAGGCAAAGAATGAATCAGAGCCTCATGCAAAGGCCAAGGGAAAGGCCAAAGCAAAGGGGAAAGCTGGTGCCAAAGCCAAGACCCAGAATGAAAAGAAAAAGGGCGAGGCCGAGACAGCTCCCACCAAGAGAAAGACAGAGAAGACTGCAGACGTTTCTCAGCCCAGCGCCAAAGCAAAGGCCAGGGCTGACAGAAAGGTTTGGTCAAAGGAAGCCCCACCGCCTGTGCCTGCGCCCAAGAGTGGCACGACCTACTACCGGCACGGCAAGATCCACCGCAACCAGGGTGCGTTCAGAGTCTTCCTCAACTGCAGTGACCGTTGCGATAAGAAAGTGAAGATCGTTGACGAAGAGAATTGCAGTGCTGAGTGGCAGCGAGCCCTGAAGTTGATCGATGAAGCTCCGGCTGACGTTGAGTGAAAAGTTGATGAATAGGTTTTTGTGTCGAATGAGTGGCAGCGGGAGTTGATCGATGAAGCTCCAGCTGACGTTGAGTGAAAATTGGGACTGCACTTGGTTTTAACGATTGCTGTACTTGCATTGCGTTGTGAGTCTTGCATTGGGTTTCAACACGTGCTTAAAGAAGACATTCCGTGTCAATACCTTTGACAACCCACACAACCCTGCCTTTGCATTTTGATCATCAATTCCACCTGTGCAAACGTGGTCCCCTGCAAACGCCAATCAACTCATTCAGAAGTTTGTTTCGCGCCAGCTGCCAGAACCCGTCTCTGTCCGTTGTTGCATCGAGGTTGTTGACAGGTTCTTTATTGAGGACACGTCCAATGCTCCAATCAGGTGGGGGCCGCCTGATTGCTAAACACGGTGCAACCATCTCAGGTGGTGACTGCAGTGTTGACAGAGGCTTGCGCTGAAGGAATAGTTTCCTTGTATACACTGATTTGTGTGCAACCGACTGATTGCTAAACGAGACGCAACAATCTCAGTTAGTCAGGCTGAAGTGTTGACGGAGTTTTGCACTGAAGGAATAGTTGCATTGTACAATTGTACTGAGTATTTTTGCTTAAGTGGTTGATGTTTCTGCAGCAGTGCGCATGCATGAATCGCACGCACAGCGCCAAAGCAATGCATACATAGCACGTGCAACTCTAATCCAGCACGTAGGTTTGTGGAACAACCATATATCATATATCATCATACATCCCAGTGACAGGGCCAGACCAGAAACACGGCTCGTGAATCGTGAGTGCAAGTGCAGGGTCCTTTGACTCGCACTGCGAGAGCCATGAGCTCAAGTTCTCGCGGGCCACGCGATGTTTATGTGGCTTCTGCTTCTCATGCATTTGTCAGCCAAAGTGGAATGGTCGCACTTCTGAAGTCAGTACGTGAACACGGATTGCCCGAGCACATCAGTCGACAGACACTGAAGAGGACGAGAGTGCAAGCTTTACCAGGAGATACACCCTTAGGCCCTCTCCAATCCACACTGAGCCTCATTGAGGAACAGGGTGGAACGTTGGAGCTGCCTTGCATCTCGCCTTGGCCTTTGCTTTTCGCTACATTGGAAAGGAATGAGTCCTTTAGGGAGTTCTTTGAGGGCGTGCTTGCGTCCTCCAACAAAACTGCAGGGAATCCATTCAAGGTGGCACTCTACTGTGACGAGATCCTTCCTGGAGACCAGTTGAAGGCAACCAACTCCAGAAAGATGGTTGCCTTCTACTGGTCTTTGATGAATTTCGGCAATCAGCTCGGCCGCGACATGTTGTGGTTTCAAATTTCGATTTGTCGGACCTCTCACATCAAGAAGGTTGCTGGACAGTACAGTCAACTGTTCAAAAAAATCTGTGAGTTGTTCACAAAACCGCCGTTTGACGGAAGGCTTGGACTGAGCCTGCCCCTGAATGGGCCTTGTAAGTTTGGCTTCTTCAAGGTCGGGCTCCTCTTGGCGGACGAGGCCGCGCTTAAGCAGTGCTGGTCGAATAAGGGCTCCTCAGGACTGTTCATTTGTGTGTTCTGCCAGAACGTCACCAACCATTTGCTGGAGGTGGCAGCTCACGACACATCTGACTGGCTGGTGCCAAGTTTTGTTTGCAGCCTGGACCAATGTGTCTTGCACACGGATGAATCAGTCATGGCGGTGATCAGGAAACTCAAAGCCGATAAGGCCACCTTGAGGAAGGGGGCTTTCGATGAGCTTGAAAAGACTTTGGGGTTTACATATTGCGAGGAAGGCGCACTTTTCGATGAGAACTTCATGGCAACAATTCCTGGACCTGTATCGATGACATCTTACGACTGGATGCATGTATACCTTGTCTCAGGTTTGTGGAATAGCGAGGTGTCCCTCCTTTTGAGCAAGGTGAAAGAAGGGCATGGAATCGGTGTGTCGTCGTTGGTTGCTTTTTTGAAGAAGTTGTCATGGCCCAAGAAGATCTCGTCCAGAAGCTTGAGTGGCATCAGGGCTGTTGAGAAGCTGAAAGATGGACCTTTGAGTTGCTCAGCCTCTGAAGGGTTGTCGCTATACCCGTGTATCAGGGCCTGGTTGATGACTGAAGTTCCATCATCTGTTGGAGAAGCAGGCAAGGCCATCAGGTCTTACTACAGTTTGGCTGCGGTGTTGGATCTTCTCCAGAGGACCCGATCAGAGAGCATTTCGCCCGTTGACTCTTGACACGGTTCCTTCAACGTTTGACCACTATTTTTAAATGTGTTTGGTGTCAATTTTCTTGATAATTGATTGAAGGGTGTGCAGGGGGTTCACTGTGAAAGGAAAAGTTGTGAAACTGTGATTGGGTTTGCTTTGACAGGGCAACTGACAGACAGCTGCTCGTTTGGAACGGTTTCAGCTTTCATTCGAAGTCTAAAGAAGTATGGTGTGTTCCTTGTGTTGCCACGCTTTGACAGGGCATCTGACAAACAGTTGCTCGTTTGGAACGAAACCGTTGTAAGTCATGCCGAGTTTTAAACAAAGAGTAAACGCAACAAAATATTATAGATATAAACTTGAAATACTGAGGAGTTGCGGCAACGCATTGAGAGTCACCTTTGCGATCGCCTGGCCGCGTACGGACCGGCGTGTATGCAACCCAAGGCTCACTATAGCCTTCACTTGCCGTCGTTTCCGGCCCGAGACGGCCAATTGACGAGTTGTTGGGTGCATGAAAGGAAGCACCGACAGCTCAAAAGACATGGCAATCACAGCACGAACGCCAACAGGAAAGTCTCGTGGGAGAGGGGCATCTTAGAAGAGGTGGTCTTGGCGCAGCTGCTGGAGACAAACGAATGGGACTGCAAGTCTGGGGTAGTGCTTCACAATCCCTTGAAAGCTTCTGCAGAGTTGACCATGGAGCTGCAACGAAACCTTGGCCACACTTTGGACTCGAGCTTTGAAGTGTTTGTTTCTTTCGACGCCCTTTGCAACTATGAGAACGTGTCGCGTGGAGATTGTGCGCAGACTAGCGCGCACATGGTTGAGATCTGGTTCCATTTGCAGGTTGTGTCAGAAGTCAGTGGCGCTTCATTTCACTCAGTCGTTTCCAAGTGGAAGCCTGCAGGCCCCAATCAGTTCCGAATGACTGAGGCACCAGAATTGGTGCCGACAGAAAGCCTTCAAAGGGCAATCCCGTTTTATGTCGGTGGAGACGTGGCAACCGTGATCCCTTGAAAAGATTGCACCCATGTTGCATGACAGGCTTCATTTTTGACATGGAACCTGACGTTTTGCAACCCAGTTGCGTGACAGGCCTCCTTTTTTACACGCAGGAACTTCATGTTTTCTGTGCAGTGCACCGTTCGATCGAGTCTCGTCATTTCGTTTCGTCGTTCCATCGTTCGATCGCTCGTTTCTGCCAGGTGATCACCGTGGTCCTGGTCGATGTGCCTTGTGGATCCGAGAAAGATCTATATACCTTGAAGCGAGCCGTTGCTGGCCCTGCATGGTCACAAAATACGCGAGCCGCAAGAGCAGGCCCTGCCTCTGATCAGCGCGGCTTTCCAAAACGTGGCGCCCTGCCTCCACGACGTGGCGCCGGTGTCCGGAAATCTCCGCCACGGCCAGGACTCGCAGGGCTTCTTGCAAGAGCTCGCATAGCGCAGGGCGCACGCAGAGCTCGCGCTTTTGCGAAAAAAACGCGACGCGGAATGTCAAAAAGAGCCCATATGCGGGCTCATATTTTCAGGGTTAGTCCTGGTTATCGCGTTTATCTAATCATGGTTACAAAGGCGCTAAACATGGTTACAGAAGTGGTATAAACATGTTTAGCTAAGTGGCGCAAACGAGTGCTAAATGTGTTTATAAGTAGGCTAAAGACGTAGTAAATGAGACAGAGGTTTAGCAACCACGACGGGCATCCAAGCATCCCCTTCCTGTGGGCCTGCATGGACCTTGCAGCCAGCGATGCCAAGATGCAGCACTGGCTTATTGCCATCAACTGGCTTTTGAGTGGCCTTACGGTGTGTTTGTTGGCTGGTCCCCTCAACATTGATCCTCAGCCGCCTTACGTGTGTGCCATGCAACGATCTGTAGCTCCAACTCATGAACAGCGATGTGAGGAGAGGATTGAGGATGACATCCAAGCTCGTCCAAACAGGACCTGTGGCCGCTGAAGTTTCACCAATCAGTTGGTGGCGTCCGTTCTTGCGGTTTGTCTAGCTGCTTTACATCTGATTCTCTTCATCTCGATCGGCACCGCCGATCGAGTTGCTGTGCCCAGTCGATCGGCTCGGCTCCTTCAGTCGAAAAGAACCACTGTTGCTCCCACTGAGGAGAACATGGCCAGCCTGGCCCATCGCTTCCGTGCGCGGCAGCCCACAGCTGGTCGTGAAGCACTGATGGATGTGCTGGTGCTCCTGCTGGCGCCTTGGACCTAAGGAGTGGTTCAGGGCCTAGGGAGTGCTGTGCTGGCGAAGCAAACATCGATTCAACACTTCGTGACTAGAGATGACAGGAATATCAGGATCCCTTCTTGGTTGGCTTCTTTGGGCCCAAACAGAAGTTGCATCTTAAACAACTCAAAAGCTGTTTTGTGAACGCATGTTCAGTCTTTGTCTACTTTGGCATCTTCTGTCCGAATCCTCGTCGATTCACAGGAGTAGCTGGAAGTGGATCCCAGTCCTATGACCTCTTAGAGTCGGTCAACAAAGAAAGCATGTTTGAACAAGGCCTTCACTAACATAGGATAGATTAGAATATATAGGATAGACCCACTATTATAATATATAATAGTTTGAATATGATTTAATATATAGATTGAATCATCCACTGGAATAGGATAGACCCAAATTATGGAGCACCTGCCATATACAGGAGCCATGGCCCATCAGGGCTCATTGGTGCTTCTGGTTTCGAGTAAAAGAATTCGACCCTGGGCCACTTTGCAGAGATCCGCTATCTAGCCACTGATCCCAACAAATGGATACAAATGGTGGGGTGCGATGCGGGTAACTTTTGCAGACAGCTTCCACTAAAGGTACAGTATCATCCATATACCTCTCCTGCCAATCGCCCAGGTAGCACCACTCGTCTTGTGCGGCACTGCTCTGACCTTCTTAAGTGGCGCCTTGCAGCCTCCGCTGCCCTCGTTGTGGCCGCCTTCTACGGCTTGCTGGAGCTGGTAGTGTGGCTGAAGCGCAGGAGATGTCCACGTGCGAGGTTGAAAGGACAGGAGTCAGGGCCGTCTGCCAGGATAGGGCACCAATTTTGAACGAACAGATCACCAGCGGCCGAGGGGCGGCGAATGGTGCCTCGGGTGCCTCGAATCCTCGAAGCCAAAAACTTGGCGACTGGACTGGGCACCTCATTTTTCGGGCACGGGTTTGTGTGCGGGCGTCCAAAACCGAACTGCGCGCAGTGACGTAGAAAAGCGGAGAAAGCGCGTACAGACGATCCAAGACTTGGACGTTCCACAGAGCACCTTTCGTTTGATGGGAGCCCGGGCTTCAAGCGGCTTCAACCTAATTGGGGATTTAGTGGTTGCTTCAACTACATGCCGAGAAGGTATGCATCCGGATGACTTGACGTCATGACGTCGTGACGTGCGTCGCCAGGCCGTCATGTTGATCAGAGCGGCGAGGTGGGACGTCGCCAAGCACATGAAGTGATCATGATCAGAATGATGAGGTCATGATATGCCAGCCATTTTTAGTGATGATGGATGGCGATAAACCGTGTTTGTAGGTGTTTGTTTGTTTGTGGTGATGCACAGTCAGTTGTGTTGCTGAAGTGATCACTGTTCTTTTTGTGCTGCCGTGCCTGGCTGGCTCTATGACCATGTGCTGTTGTCGGGTCGGATGTGGCTGAAGGCATACATCAGGTCCGGTGTGCAGACCACATCGATTGGAACTTGGGCCACTGTAACTTTGCATAACTCGAAGCATTCTCTTCAGAACTTCATGGGATTCTGGGATTGGAGGATGGTATTTAGTATTATGATTCGTTTCAGTGTGTTTCACAAAAAAGGCATGATCACGCATGATCACGCATGGAGTGCAGCTCTAGACTCAACACTCAAAACAATGTGCTCACAAGAGACGAGACGTGAGAAACATCAAGGCTAGCTAGCTCACGAAGATGTGCACACTTGATCCTACATCACCCCAGTTTTCAAGCCTGGCCCATAATTCAATAGCTTGAATCCCGAACGAACATCTTGATCTCCTCGGGTCACTCGGCGAACACTCTCGTCGGCTCGGCCACCCGTGGCGCGGTTACTCGACGCTTACCCGGGCGCGCTTGACGTCCTCAGCATCCTCAGTTGGAGGAATCCAATAAGTTTACACGTTTTCAATGATTTGACGCTTGAAATCCATCTCAGATCCCTTGCTGGTTCTGTTTCCTGGTTTGGGCAGCTATCTTGCTGGCAGCTGCAGGTTTCCTTTAGCAGCAGGTGGCACCGTACTTCCACCTGAAAAGAAGAAAAAACACCTGTCTTCTGAACTGTCACGGCCACCATGGCCTTTTCTCAACGTCCGCAGAGTCTTTGGGTGGTGAGACTCTCGGGCCAGACTGGGCATCCGGGGGGCATGTGACTGGTGACCGCACTGGTCTCAAATTCCGCAGACTGTATCCAGGATAAAAAGAATGGTTTAACATCATGTGGGGGGCTGTTTTATTAATCAACACTATATACCTGGATCTTCCCAGTGACCTTTTGATCCCCTGGTTTGAGGTCACTTAGGCTTGTAAAAGGTCACTTAGGATTCCAAAAAGGTCACTGGGAAGGTCCTGGTACATAAGCCTTGTATATCCTTGTATGATATGTCGGTATCCAAAAGACCAGGTCCAACTCCTTTTCGAGACCCTTTGGACTCCACTCGCAACTCTAGTTCTTCACCACCGGACTTCGCGGCAAGCGAGACGCAGCGGACTTCGCTGCTGCTGAGACGCCCTATAGCCGACGCTGTCGGTCGTTCGTTCGCGGCAAATGCGCTCGGCTGGTTGGGCCCCAGATGGGGTCACCCGGCTTCCCCAGCTCTAATTCTCCATCCACAAGAGTGGACGAGAGCGGTTGGTGGGTGAACGTTGGCAGGTTCGCGAGCACGGACGGAGCACCGGCTGAAGAGGCAGGCGCTGGAACTGGGCTCTGAAGAGAGTCCGCCCCAAGGTTGGTAGACGATCTCCGCCGAACTTCGTCTATGCTTCTCAACCTGTCTCTAACATGCCTTGCCACAGCAATAAGAACCAGCAGGCCAAGGCAAGTGTGTGTAGGAAAGCACGGGGCGAACTTCTTCTCATATGGGTGTTTTCGATGGCGCTCACGTCTTTTTGGCTCTGGATTCTGGGGATAGAACTTTTCCTCCAGACTTCTTCCTTAGCCCTTTGCGTGAAACGCACTGGTGAGAGGGGAAGCGAGAGCACGATTTTCGTGGTCCACCATGGAGGACTTGACAGCGCCAGTGCCACGTGAGCGACCGGAGCTATTGAACAATTTGGCAGCCCCTGGGCATGAAAAGGAGTTGGTAAATGACGGTGCTTTGGAGTGTGTGGTGGAGTCGGAGCGTAGGCCGTACTGCCTGAACAGGTCTAGATGGTGTAGGCCGTACTCCTTCATTCGACCCCCAACCCAGATGGGATCCGCTCCCAATTGCTCGTCCTTACCGGTTGGACGTGGCAACTGTCTACCGGACCGACAGGACTGGGACGACGACGCCGGACCGACATGGTCTCCCGCTGAAGTGCTGGCGTCCGGCGACCCCACGGACCGGACCCCACTGGTCCATCGACCACTGGCCCATCGACTCCCAGCCTTAGGCTGTGGTGGCCCAGATGGAGCTGATGCGACCGGAAGCCTTGCGCGTCACCTTGGCCGTCCGGGCACTCCAGGGCTGTGGCAGGGTCTTTCGACTACGGCTGCGGCAGGATCTCTTTGCGAAGAGTTTTGTAACTCTGACACTGGCAGAGAGTGGCAGAGGGGGTGACTTCCAGTTTCAGTTTGGACCTGTTTGGATGCTGCAAATCCCAGCAAATGACACCACTTTACTTTGATCCTCACTCGACTGAGGTGGACTGAGGTGGACTCCCTGAAAGAACGCCAAGTGGAGCTTGGGGAACATGAAAACGATCCATAGTAAACACTCCATTTTTGGTGCTCGTTCTTCAACTTCAAGACCCTTTGGTTGCTGATTCCCGTGTATTATTTGCCAGTTCAACCACCCCCCCAACTCATTGCACATTTGGTGATTTTCATTCATCTTCGCATCTCCTTCCTAACTCGGTGACAAGGTGAGCGACCAGATCTCCTGTTTTTGGTCTCACTCCTGGCATGGTGGGCGGCGCAAGAAGGTGGTTACGCTGCTCACACTCTACAACGGCCTGCCGGCGATACTTTGTGGTGTTCTGGCTGCTCTGGTGATGTTGGTGCTTTTCACCTTCGGATCTCTTCCAGGATTCCAAAGAGTTGCTGATTCTCCGAGTGATCATTCCGCGTGGCAGCTTGGAGAAGCCACCGACTTTTCTTTTGCCTTTTTGTGTTGGGTTTATTTTGGCTCTGATACACGGTGTGCGTTCGGGGTGTACGGCGTAATGACATACAGGGGATCTTAAGACATGACCGGCGACCGGCGCTGTGCTCGTCATCGAACCCTTGCAGTGCTCGTCATGACTCGTCCAAAGGTGGGAGAGTGTGTGTGCCCCAGAGATCCCAAAAGGTAGGGCTGCACTGCGGATGTGAAAGGTTGTTTGGGCACAAGTTGCCCAGACAGCCCAGACTGATATGTTGACATACAGACAGTACAATCGCCGATTTGGTAGGCTTTGATAGACATGAAGCAAGTTCGTGAACATCACTTGCACTTCGCTCATAGACCTAGGTCACTTGGAACGGGCTTCTTGGTCACAGCACTTGTCTTTGTCTTTTGGCGGCCGCAGCAGCATGTTTTCCTGGACCGGATTTGCATCACCGAAAGTGATCCGCAGCTCAAGGCAGAGCAAATCCTAAGCCTCGCTGGGATGCTGAAGCGCTCCCGGGAGATGTTGGTACTTTGGGACTCAAGTTGGAGTGATCGCCTTTGGTGTTTGTTCGAACTGAGTGCCTTCCTGAAGAGCAAAGCTGATAGTGAGCATTCCCGGTTGCTGGTAACACCTACCTTTATGGGGCCGTGTGTCGTTGCCACCTTCTTGGGGATGTTCCTGGCTGTGGTGCCACTGACGACTTTCCCGCTCGATGCTTCTTTTCTGATTCCCATGGTGTTCGTGTGCGTCTTTGGAGCGTTTGGTGCTTTATGCTGTGCCCACGCCTTCCGTTCCTACTTTCAATCCGTGGATGACCTAAAGGAGAAGTTGCAAAGCGTCAACTTGGAAAGGACCAGAAGTATTTGCTGCGACCTGAACCACGAGGGCGACATGACGTGTGACCGCGAAATCGTGAAGGATTGCATCACCATTTGGTTCGGCAGCCAGGAGGCCTTCGAAGACTGTGTGCGTTCCGAGGTTTTAGAGACCCTCACGTCAGAGCTGGAGCAGTCGGTCTTCACCCGACCATGGCGGATCGCCGTCACCGGGCGGGGTTTGGGGCGAGCGAGACAAACGTTGGGACGTTGTTGGGCCTCTTTTTCGTCCTTAGCAGCTTCGTTCGTGTGTCGTTTTCATTCAATTCCGAGAGTTGGTGTCTGCAGTCATGATGCAAGTAATCCAAGGCGAGCGTCCCTTTCCTGTGGGCCTGCATGGACCTTGCAGCCATGAATGCGAAGACGCAGCACTGGCTTATTGCCATCAACTGGCTTTTGAGTGGCCTTACGATGTGTTTGTTGGCCTGTCCGCTCAATATCGATCCTCAACTCAACCTAGCCATGGGTCAACGATTTGTAGCTCCAACTGATGAACAGGTTGATGTGTAGATATAAGGCGGCACACCCTTCAAAACTCACCCTGTGGGGTTTTCCCAACGGTGATCCTCGACCGGCTTCCAACTGATTTCACCTTCTGACTGCTCAAGTTTGGGCGGACGAGACCAGGTAGATGGAAGAATCCAACATCCTTTTTGGCTTCGCCCAAAAACACCTTCGAGAGTTGACTTGTGTTTTTTAGGGTCGGACGGTGGGGTCAAGGGTCGGACGTCGGTGGAATTTCGGTGAAATCATGGTCGAATACACAGATGGAAGCGGAACAGACGCAGCCAGCTGTCCAGGTATGTTATGGTTGTTAATTTATAGTATTTATATATACGACCATCCCAGATATGAAACAGGAAGATCGCCTCGTCCAAAATCAAAAGAAGGGCCTCGACCTGTCAATTGAGGCCTTGAGGCAGGTCAGAAAGATGTCACAAGTCAAGAAATCCATCTTTGATTCACTCGAAAGGAGCGACGATCAAGAGCTGACTAGTCAAGATTCTGACCACTTTCGAGTGCACTAGAAAGGATCCGAACTCTGAGGAGAACTTGGCCAACCTCGCGCATCGCTTCCGCACGCGGCAGCCCACAGCTGCCCGTGAAGCACTGATGGATGTGCTGGTGCTCCTGCTGGCTCCTTGAGCAGAACCGACCACGAGCGACCACGGTCCCGGGACTCCGCGGGAGGCCCAAAAAAGGGCCTCAGGGCCTCGAGTCGAATTCTCAACTCTCCAGTTCTGGAGATGTTCGAAGGACCATTTGGTCCCAACCAGAAACAAAATGGATCTCCCAACCTTCCGGGTGCTCAGACTAAACGGCCTGGCTTGAGCTCCTTCTCTTTGGCCCAATTTGGAGGAGAATTGGAGCACGTCACTGTGACTTTTTGTAAAGGGTTGAGCCCTTGTCAAAAACGAACAAAGAATGTAAGCCGTTGGCATTTGTAGAGTTTCTACCTTTTTGACTTTCGACTGCCCGGCCGTTCATGTCTTGCTTGTGTTGCCTTTTGGTGTGTGTTCCATTCAAAAAGATGTTTTGCGGCCTCAAGTTTGGGCTAAAAACTGCTAAACAGATTCGCAGAAAAGAGGACCAGTCATGACAGTCGTGACCTGACAGCGCCTGACAGTTTGGACTGTTGTCGGCCCGACACGTCTTCTGGTCCGGACGGCCGGACGGATTCCGTTTCCGTCCCTCCGGACGGAAACAGTAGCAATACAAAGAACGGGTCTTTGGGTGTGCGTTCTTTTATTTGAATCCATCGTTTTTTTTTTTTAAATAAAATATTTGTATTTTTTGAATCAGACTTGCTTTTGCTTTTACTGTTTTTGGATTTGCAGCTTCTTAGCGTTTGGTGTTGCCTGGGTTTTTGCTAAAAAAAATATATCGGCTCGTCTGCTTTTTGTTGCTTTGGTTGCTTTGCTGCTTTTGCTACTTTTATGCTCTTGTTGCTTCTGTTTCTTTTTGTTGCTGTTACTGTGCTGCACTTGTTGCTGTTCGGTCTGCTGTGTGATGCACTACTCCGCAACTTGCACACACCTCATATTTCACATGTTATATACTTATATATGTTGGCATATATCAAAGAAATATATACATATACATATACATATACACGTATACGTATACGATAGACATAGACATAGGAATAGACATAGACATAGACACGGACAGAGACACAGATACATACACACATAAATCCATGCATGCATACATACGTACCTGAAAGACCCATCACGCTCACGTCAGTGCTCTGGAGAATCTGGTGCAGGCTCCGCAAACCACTCTTGGAACAATGGCAGAAGCAGCTACCACCCACCATCGACCACGATCGAGCACGACCTGGAGCCAATGTCCTCCACGTAGCCTTAGAGCGCCTCCTCCGTCAAGAAGTGCACAAGGCCAGAGGACACCATGGAGTCACAGTGTTGATGGACATGTCCACCCTTTACGACACGATTCAGCTGAGCAAACTGCAAGAAGAGGCCCTCAAGCTCAACTACCCGCCTTTGCTGCTTGAACTGGCCATGCAACTATACACAGGGCCAAAGGCAGTCATGGCAGAGCAGGAGCTCACACCCTTTTTCAGAGTCGATCATGGAGTTCCAGCAGGATGCCCGCAGGCCCCGTTGCTGGCCAAAGCTGTTCTTGCACCAGCTTTGATACCCTGGAAGGAGAAACATGCTCAAGTGCACCTATCAAGTTGGGTAGACGATGTTGGCTTCGACACTGCAGGACAGACACCGCTCCAAGTGGCCCAAACTGCGGTTAAGGCCTACCGAGATCTACGCAGCAAACTGGTTGACCTTGGCCTACGCGTGAACCCCAAGAAGACGGCCTTCATTGCCACAGACAAGGCCACTGATAGAGCACTCCGTGACCTCTTGGGGAGGGTGCAAGACCTACGGCGCTGGACAAGGCCTGCCACCCCACTGCTCTTGGAGATGGAGCTCTCCATCCAAGATCCATGGTGGAAGATGGAGAAAACCCTCCTCCAGGAAGCACAAAACCAGCGCACCAACAGGCTGGCTCAACGACAATACCACCAGCACCTCATCACTGGGCTGGACTGGCATGTGTACCACCAGCAGATCAAGCAGATGCCAACTGAACACAAGACCCATCTCAAAACATGGGTTCAAGGTGCAGTCCAATTTCGAGACAACGGACAACCCAAGCAATGTCCCATCTGTTGTGTCCCGGCAACCCCGAAACACATCCTATGGCTGTGTAAATGGCACCATGGACAGGGACACAAACCAATGCCACCAGCCTGGGCAGAGAGAATCACTCAACATGATGAGGACCCTTTATGGAGTGCAGGTTGGATAGCTCTGGAACCAGAAGAGCACCGCCAGATTGAGCATGCATACCAAGGCCATGGCACCTGGCAGGACCTACAGGTTCTGGCACCACACCAACACCAGGGCTGGGCCTTCACGCTGGACGCCACACCCTCCACCTATGACCAGCGCAGCCAAGTATGGTTTTTTGGACTCTGTGTGCATGCCATGAGCTTGGGACAACTTCAAAGACTTGGAGCGCTCACTGGCATACCAAGCAACCCACAAAACAAAACCAGAGCACTACTTGCAGGACTGGTTGCTCTGGCCAAGCATACCAGCACCTACGTGAAGGTCATTGTGCAAGTTGTGGCGGTGTGTGAAGCACGGACCCACGTGAGGCACAGACAGCTCTATATGGATCCCTTCGAAGGTCTCACTGACCAAGATCTACAAAGGGTGACAGTCTTGTATGTCAGCCGAAACACTCGCACCCCAGGCAGTGGGCCGCACCTCAAGCGAAGACAGCGGGATGCAGCTTTAGTTGCTTGGGAACGAGCAAATGCCATGCACGATCGAAGAACTACTGAATGGCAGCAGGTCTTAGACCAAGATCACACCGAAATTTACAAGCATGCTGCAGCAAGGCTGGCCAAGGTCTATGCAGCCAAGGACCATTACATCCACCAGAAAGCCACCAGGGCAGGCAGACGAAACAGCGCAAAAAACAACTGGTGCAGCAGTGCCACAAACCCTGGACGGCACCCCATCACTTCTGGCAACCCAACCGTAGTGGCTTCCATTGCAGTGCCAGTGCCTGTGGCCTCAGGATCCACCAAGCGCTTACGGTCTCGATCATTGAGGAGAGGCTTGCGCAAACATGCCCCCTCTTGCGCTTGGATGAGGAATATCCAGACCAGCGCAGCCCGCGCAAGCCACTCCCCAAGAAGCTCACACGAGCTCAGGTGATCAGCAATCTCCTGGCCCAGCAACAGGAGAAACCCCCAGCCAATGAGACCCATGCCCTTGAGGAGACAAAAGGGTATTTACGCTGTGGGAAGTGTGGTTGCAGCGTCCACAGGCGGCCTTTCAGGCCTTTGTCCATGGAAGTGCGTGCGGCGTTCAAGTCCACCTTGACGCGCGATAGCGCCCAATAGTGACAGGAGCACTCCAGAAGATATGCAAGGGAGCAGCCGTCAGTGGTTCACCACCCTTGGTCGAACTCTTCCGGCGACAGGCAGAGAAGGCCAGTCAACAAACAGAAGAGCTGCCGCAGGCAACCTCCACAGCCATGGCGGAGCAGCCAACCTCTTCAGACGGGGTTGCAACACCGCAGATGGCCTCCCAGACTTCCAAAGTTTCTCCAATGGCACCAAGGAAGCTCAGTTTCTGTGAAGCCATGAGCGCCAATGCCAGAACCAGCCCCTCCACTCAGGCCGGGCCAGCGCACCCTGAGACCACATGACCTAGTTTGCGCAGGAAAATTCCATTCCAGAGCCAGGCCAGCCACCCCCATGCCATGAACCCCAGCCCAACAATGTCTGAGCAGACGGAGGAAGAGCTGATGGAGGACAATGTCTGAGCCTGATGAAGGGCGCATGGCAGTGGACTACTTCTGAGGCACTGACCGGCACTAGGCTAGCCAAACCGGCTACTCGCAACAACCCAACTCTAGAAGAAAAATACATGTGTACCTACGTACATAGTTACATACGTACGTACATACATACACATACAGACAGACATACATACATACCTACCTACCTACGTACATAGTTACATACGTACATACGTACATGCATCCACACCGACAGACAGACACACAGACAGATTAAATTAGTGGATTTGATGAAACATGTGTGTGTGTGTGATGATTTGTTTGTTGATTTGGGAACACAAAAGGAAAGGACTCTTTTTGGGTGAGTTTTTTTTTGAATGTTTATACAGACACACACACACATATATATATATATACATACATACATATATATATATATTGAAGGTTATTTTTGCAATTGAGCAACATTTTTTAAAGATAATATTGTTTTTTTAGATAAGGTATTCAGAGTTATGTTTAAACCATATTTTGTTATTTTGGAACATTGTTGTTATTTTGGGATGATGATAATGCTCATAGTGGTGATGATGATGATGATGATGATGTTATATACACAATCATAGCAATAATGCTTCTTTTGAATATATCGAAGTCTATGTATATAATATCTATTATCGAATTTACAAATGCAATTTTTAGCAGAGAGAGAGAGAGCGCGAGAGAGAGAGAGAGAGAGTGACAGAGAGAGAGAGAGAGAGAGAGTGAGAGAGAGTGAGAGAGTGAGAGAGAGAGAGTGAGAGAGAGTGAGAGAGTGAGAGTGAGAGTGAGAGAGTGAGAGAGCGAGGGAGGGGCAACATTTTCAGCAGGTGGGGCCGTCAGTTCTATTTGTTGGGATGGGTCTAGTTAGACATCCATAGAAGTTGGGATTTCCCGGTCGCCCACTTCTTAGCCACTGGGTGTTGCCCCTGGGTACCCAACCCTTACAGTGACCATGGCAGGCGGATCATGGATGTTTTCGTAAGCAGCCACTTACGCGGGTCTCAGTTGCCATATTGGATTTCTGGTTGCTTAGGGTTTCCAGGTCTCTCTCCGTGTGCTTCTGTTCACTCGACTTGTGAAGCCGCCCTGCTCATCATAGATCGAACAACGATGAGAACCATGAGCATTACAGGCATGGCCCATTACATGGCCCAGGCTTTGGTTTCCAGTGGGACCACGGGAATGTTTCCGGGTACACGCTGGTGTTTGGCAATGTTCTGGACACTTGTGTGGTGCAGAATACTTGAAGTAAGTTTGCTCAGCCGTTCGCCAAGGCTTTGCCACTCTTCCTGTGCGGCACTGCTCTGACCTTCTTAAGTGGCGCCTTGCAGCCTCCGCTGCCCTCGTTGTCCCAGGCCGCCTTCTACGGCTTGTTGGAGCTGGTCGTGTGGCTGAAGCGCACGGGGTGTTTTTCATGTGCGAGGTCGAAAGGACAGGAGACAGGGCAGCCTGCCAGGACGGGTCACCAATTCTGACCCACAAACCAACATGTTGAGAGATGCCAATAAATTGCACATAGTTGGCGGTTTTCAGGCGTCGTCACTTGACGTGAAGCCACAAACTTGGCTTTGCGCCTCATGATTTTCGGCGCCCAGTTTGGAGTGCCACCGAACTGACACCTGGAGTGCAGGTCCGCCTTCCTGCCTGCCGGAGAAAAGGGACCCTCCGGACTGGCCACCGACACCCAGGGACGACGCGGCGCTGTGGGTGGGAGAGAGACCCCCCGAGCTTTGGAGTTGGAAGTGGCCCCGAACAGAGGAGGATCAGATATCCAGATTGACCAAACAGGTCAAACAGGTACCATTCACGGATTTCCGATGATCTCAGGTAGTGTGTGATTCATGCTTTGACAGGCGGAGAGGGCCCGTTGGTGAGGCAGACCCTTTTGAAGCAGTGTCGATATCAGTCAAACTGCTTCAAAACGGTTTGTACATACAGATCTAGACTTTGCTCGCGCTGATTGCTGTGACCGTTTTGCTGGTGCGGCTGTAGCTAGATAAAACTGGCAGCAGTAGCTGGACTCCCGTGCATGTCATTTGCCCTGATCATTCTGAAAGCAAGGAAGATGGGGTGCCGGACTTCTTGCACCTCCCCAAACTTCAATTAGTTTTCTCCTTGCGTGGACATGCACGCATGCTTTGGAGAGTCTTTTGAGCTTTGCATTTGCATGCTTTCCAGAGATCTATAGTTCTCTGAACCTTGTGAATGTCCATGAGTCCATGAGTGCACCAGCGTCATTGGCCACTTGAACTGGAGCTTTCAGTCCATTTTTCCGCAAACGTTTCAGCTGCCCGGTCATGAGATCAGCAGCCATCTGAAGGAATTGCTTGACAGAGACCGTCATGTGACATGGTGCTTCAGCAGCCAGTGCGATTGGATAAAAACCCAAGTGACCCGATGCAAGCAAGGCTGATGACTGGAGTTTGCAGGGGAAAAGAGCACGTCACATCCATGCGGTTTCAGCAGAATACGTTTTGTTTTTTTTGGATTTTCCCATAGCCAGCAAACTCTTTCTGCAGCTGGAGAGGGTGTCCCTTTCCCAAGCATTTGCTATGGTCCACATGAGGAAGCACTTCAGGTTCTTTAGGTCCTCCTTCTTGGCTGGCCAAAGTTGCCTTTTCGTTGCCTGTAGCCATGGGCAATGGACGAACTTGAGGCGAGTTGACCATCCTTGAGCCATTTTCACACCGTTTGCACAAAAGCACGTGGATGGCAGACGATCTTCGTCCGGTGGTTTTGTCTCTCTCTCTCTCTCTCTCTCTCCCTCTCCCTCTCTCTCTCCCGGCAGACGCACTAATACAGTCTGGCGCTCGCTTTGTTCTGGCCTTAGGAGGTGAGCCGTCATGCCGAAGTTGCAGGCGCGCGCCTTGAAGACCTCTCTTTTTTTCCAAACGGTTCGACGCACCGTCGGAACGATTCGGACGGTCCCGGCAGAAGTGTCTGGCTGCTAGCTTAAGAATCCGCTGCCGTTTTCGAAGAGAAAGACACTTACGGCAAGGGCGGCAGAGGCCTTGGAAATGTAACGTATGAAGGAAGCTAATCGCTCCAACGAGGCAGAGAATGTCCTCATGTTCATTTTTTGTTTGGTTTACGTGGCGTTGCATCCCCTGTTCAGCAGCTAGCACATCCTTCACCCAGATTTGCAAACGTGGTTCTGAAAGATTTGCTGAAGGATGCGACTGTATTTGCGGATACCAGCTCAAGCAACATCGGCGCTGCAGCAGGTGCCGAACCGACCATTTGCGGCTTTTGCATTGTTGCATGATGTTATATTTGTTTTTTTTCAACTGTGACTCAGTTGAACTGGAGGAAGGCACTAGTCTAAGACCGAGGATTTTCATCGCGGCTCCATCTGAGTGTCCACCGATCTGAGGCGCTGGGCTGGGCGGTATGGTGGTCTTCCACATCACGGCCAAGGATTGCGTGGCTCGGGCGACTCAGAACGCCGCATCGCGTGGCTCGGGGAGTGGCCACAGTCGGTTCGTGCGACACACGGAGTTCGGGCGTGACCGGGACATCTGAGGCGCCACCTGCCTGTGAACAAGTGAAAGAGTGTATGGCCGAAGCAGCCAAGAAGGCCACAGCAGTCAAGCGTGAGATCAACGAGAAACAGCTGAGACGATGCCTTGATTGCTTTGCCTTGCTGACCGCTCGGTTTGGTCTTCTCTTCAGACGTCAATGCAGGCGTTCATGGGATCTGCGATTATGGGTGCAGCAGCCACTGGTGTGTGTTGCTCAGTTCGTCTTTTTTTGAAGGCTCAGTGGAGTGATTAGTAGGAAGAGCAAACAACTTATCAGCTTGAAAGGAGTTGATGTAAACTGAACATGAAGCAATACACACTTGTCATTTCACGACCATCGTCGATTCCCCCCCACCCGGAACTCCGGTCAAAAACACACACACACACATACATATACACATCACGACTTGAGTGGAGGGTCCCTATACAGCTATATCAAAACATATACAAAAACAACCACTATTCACGTGTGAGTCTGAGACCTCAGGCCGATGAAGCCCCTCCGGCCACCAGCGCGGCTCCGAGCCCAATCACGCTGGCTCCGGTCCGGAACGCCCAAAAGAACGGACGACACCGGCGAGCGCAGACGAGCGCAGACGGGGCAGACCACCCGGAGACGGGGCACGGTGCAGTTGTTCCTCCACCCAGACGAGGACGTGCGTTTTGATCCGAGGGCCTGGCTGGTCTGTTTTTTCGACGCAATTCCATGCCAGGCATTTGTGGTCATGCTCTTCCTTGTTGTGCTGAGTCATTCTTCTTCACAGGAATTTCCCCCACACTTTAGGAACCAACATCATTAGTGTGTGAGCTCTCCTGCGTCCATGTCTAAGTAGCTAACTAGTCGACCTTAATGGACTAGGCAAAAAAGCGCCAACCTTCAGTAGGGCCGCCACAGCTGGGGTTCCCATACCGAAAGGACCGACCCTTTGTGAGGCCTTTGTGATGTGGCCTCTCTTCGCGACGAACAGCAGCGGCTCCGAGAAGGCTCGTTTCGCACGCGACGAGACGGGTGAAAGGCGCCGGCGCCCAGTTCACTTGTCTGGACCGAGCGCCCGTCTGGACCGCGGACCGCGCGTGGAAGGGCTCTTCTCATGACTCATTCCTTCCGTTTTTGCAGACTTCATCGCGTGCAGGAGAGAATCAAGTCGCGCACAGGGTCCTTCTTGGAGCTCGACCTCAATCTGCTTGTGTAGGCGAAAAACTGGTGTTGTGGCTGGGAGGAAGATGCAGATGGCCCGGGATTTTTCAGTACCCTGGGATTTTTCCGTTCGCCACTTTTCTCCTCATAGCCCAACTCGTTGCGTTGGCCCCCCCCAAGAGGTGCGACCCACGGCTTTGACGCATTTGTCGTTGAACTTTGACTCACCTTCCAGATAGTGGATGTTTCAGTTTTGCACTGATCTTTTTAGTTCTATTTTTTCAATGCCAGCAATGTGGCGATGGTGACGGTGGATGGTTCTTCGCAAAGCTGGAACAGCCACCAGAATTGTAACTGCACTTTTCGAATTCGTCCACCTGAGAGAATTTCTTGTGGTTTTTGAGCTCGACCTCAATCTGCTTGTGTAGGCAACGAAAAACCAGGTGTTTTGGCTGGGAGGAAGATGCTGGCACTCGTGCCAGGGAGTGTGTACTGTTGAAACCAGTTGTGTTATGGCCAGGCTTGAACAGCGGTCGAGCAACCAACTGCTTATCACAGCACAGTTTCTGAACACGCTGTTTGCGAGAGGTGCTTGCTCTGGCGCTGTTTGCCGGAGACGCTTTGCTGCCGCAAACCGCTGCGAAATCGGAGAAAATGAGATTTGCCCCGCTGCCGGTGTCGAAGGAAATCTAAAAGCAATCTTGTCTATGTAGTTGTCTATTATGTATATATATATATATACTATTACTCGTTTGTTTACAGCCTGTTTGGTTTCGACTGTACCTTGGATCACCACTTTTTGTGACGTCAAAGTGAACTACATTCAGATGGATAGCCCACCTCGGGCAATTTTTTTGAAATCAGTTGTCACAAAAATGGCTGACGCTGGCAACACGTTCTTCCAATTTCTTCAAATCATGCAGCAGCAGCAGCAGCCAGAGAGCAGAGGCAAGAACTTTGCTGAATGTCGATCTTCGTTGACTTTGGTGAATGAAGGAGGCGATAGGATGAATGTCATATCTACTGCTTGGGCTTGAATACTCCTCTTGCCGTAAGGAATCCTCAAAGATTTCTGGAAGAACCGCCCTCAGGCGTGTAATCCTCCTCCGGGCACCCGCCCGGACCGACCGATTCGACGGACAGAGCTGAGAAGGGCGAAGACGTACCGCGCAAAGAGGTTGTCTGCTTTCTGCTTCCGCCCTCACTTTTTGCTTGCCTTGGGTGATGACGTGACGTGACGCGACGCAGCGAGGTGTGAGGCTGAGAACCGTCACGCGGACGCTTTCGCAGATTTGACTTGCTGAGTTCGCCTGGAGGACTGGATTTGGAGGATTTATATACTCGATGCTACCTCGATGCATTTGCAGCTCAAGAGGCTCAAAACAGGGCGAAATCTGTGCTTTTTCGCACCGAACTCACGCGTCCTCATTTAGCCATGAGCGCAGAGGCTGAAGCGAAAGGATATGGTCATGGTGCGAATGGCACGGAGTTCACTTGGAACAAGAGGAAGCTTGGAACATTGAAAATCACGGTGTGGATATGTGTGGATTAACCTTGGAAGAAAACCCAAAAACCCTTTGGAAAAGGAGAAGAAGACCAGACACCCCCCCTTCTTTTTTGGGGGGGTTCTGGGCACGAGTGAACGAGGATTTCGACATCGTTGCATTGACATGCAGGTCGACATGTCGACATACGTGCCGTCATGTGGACCTGGCAATGTCGGAGACAAACATCGGTATAGGCCCACCCGAAACGGAGAACGAGACGAACGTATGTACGTGATTGTGGAGATGAAGTGCTTTTCAAGATTCAGTAC